AGGAAGCATTTGTGCTGGCAACATGCCTCTTGCACTTGAACCTAGAGGTGAACAGGGTGAGGGGGACCCAGCCTCAACATGGTACGTTCAGCATTTATTGAGCACCTATTGTATGCCTCAGTTTGTACTAGGCACTGGCTAAGAACCTGGTTAGACACAGTTCTGCCCTCTCCATCATGAGCCAAGACTTGAGGTATGAGTTGTGGCTGTATGATCCTGGGCAAGCTACCGAACTTCTCTGTGCCTGTTTCTCCATCTGTAAAATGGTGCCTATTTCAAAGGCTGTGGTAGGGATCTAGAATTAGACTTGTAAGGTACCAACTTCATATTTGGCACCTAGTAGGTGCTCATTAAAAGTCTAGATGGCACAGGGAGGACTTCTCTGGGGAGGGACTCTTCATGCCAGGTTCTGACGTGCATGGGAGCTTACCAGCTTGGAGGTGTTTCTTTGGCTGTATCCCCATAACCCACTCTCCCCCAGGTATGTGGCTCTGTGGGTCAGGAGATGGGGTGGGAGCACAGAGAGGGCCTGTCTTAGAGATTATGGTAATCCAGCAGGAGAAGAGACATCCTCCTCCCCAGGCCTTCGGGAGGTTCTGAACCGATGCTTAATTGCCATTTAATTGAGTGCCAGTTAGCTATAGAAGCACCGTGCCCACCCATTGTTGGCGGACCCCTCAGGAGCTGGGAGGAAGTAATGGTCTTGGGTTAAGCCAGGGCATTGTCCTGGGGAAGGCAGGAGCTGGGGCCTGAGTCTCATGTCACTTCCCCGTTTCCTTGTGAGCCCAAGAGGAAGGAAATGGGGGCATAGAGGATGCTGGGAGCAAGGTTCCAGCTCTTCCAAGGAGAGAGAGAGAGCGAGGAAGGTGGCCACATCCTCCACTTTAAGTTTTCCAAGGGCCGGTGTGGCCTCCCCAGCGGTGGCTTCTCCAAGGAGGTGTGACCTTGGGCCTTAGAATCAGGGAGGGTTTGGCAGATGGGAGGGTGGGCTTTCCTGGTGGGGAACCTGAGTGGACACCTCAATGAGGGTCGGCTTCATTAGAAGCCAGTGGGGAGAGTGGTTTGGTAGAGATGTGGGGGCAGTTTAAGAGGCCTGTGGGGGTATGGAAAGGTCAGGAGGGAACAGGTTAGGTGAGTTCAGAGCCCCAGAGCCTGTTAGTGCCCCATTGGATTGGGACACCAGTTCTTGACCCTTGAACTTGGTAGAGAACCTGGGAGAGTCTGTGAGCTCCAACGTGGGGACAGGTGAGGCCCTCTGAACCAGCACATGCTGGGCTCACATCCAAGTTTATTGTGGCTTCCGGCATTGCTGCCCCAGCATCTGTCCTGTCTCCTGAGCCTGCAAGCCATGCTCCGTGCCTCACTCCAGCAAAGGGAGAAGCTACTTGGCCTCTTTCTGATGGCTTGGCTTGGGATGGGACAGGGAGACCTCTATCCTCTGGTTGCAAGTAGAGAAGCCCTAGTTCAAACTGGCCTCAGCCCCAACAGAATTAACTGGCTCATGTGAGTGAAAAGTCTGAGGGTTAGCATCGCCTTCAGGCACAGCTGGATCCAGGGGACCTCCCCACCCCTCTGGGTAGGCCCCATGCTCAAGCAGCCTCCCTCCTGTCAGCAAGATGGGCCCAGCCACTTCAGGCTGGCTCCTGATCCCCTGGCAGCCCTAGCAAATAAGAGCTTCTCATTGGTTCTGTAGAAGTCTCATAGTTGAGTCTCATTGGTGGAAATGGGGTCACATACACTCCCTGAACCAATTGCTGAGGCCAGAGTAGCCTGGGACACCCACCCATCCCTGGAGCTAGGGAAAAAGGTCAGTCTTCCCAAACCATAGGCCTGGGGGTGGGGAAGGGTCCCCAAAGGCCAGACCAGACTTGGAGGCAGATGGTCGGGGCTGGAGGCTGCCAGCAGACATGCTGGCTGCCCCCGTGGAGGCTTAGCCACCCTTATGGGGAGGCACCGGAGGAGGGCAAAGCTGTGCCAGCACCTCAGCCTTGGTTCCACTCTGTAGAATGGGTATCAACATCCAAGTGGCTATGGGTTATAAGGGTCAAGGGAAGTCAGGGGGCCCTCAAAGATGGTCCCACATCATTCCTTCTGGGGGGCCTCTTGTGGAGCTCTCCCTACCTTGACCCTCATCCCCAGCCTCTCCTGTCAGCCACTTGCCCACGGGTGGGGAGGATCTGGGGGACAGAGCCCCTGGGTCTCCAGTCAGCTGTAAAGCAAAACTGGCAGCAGCCGTGAAACCTGATTGAAAATGTGGGTTCCATTCTCTGAAATTCTATGGGTTTTATTCATAAGATAGAGCAGGACAGCAGCTCAGAGAGGAACAGTGACATAGGGACCTAAAAACCATCTCCTACCTCCCAGCCTTGTAGTGTGATCAGCTCAGAAGGCCTCTCCTGGGCCTGGCTGTGCCAGTAGACCCTCCTGCCTATGAGGTCACTGTGAGGATCAAATAAGATGGAGTGTGGGAGGCGCTGGCACATTGCCTCAGTGCTAGTGGCTCTTACGATTTTGTTACTAGTGTTTTCTCACAATGCCGCCTGACTGGCACTTCCCCAGGGAGGCAGGATTATACAGGCAGACTGCGGTGGCCATGAAGCCTGTCTCTTCTGTGATGCCCCAGTCACCCCCACCTCCTTGTGTTTTGACTGCAGAGCCCTCAGGACTGCCCCCAGATCTTGCCCTTATCCCTGGCACCCATGCCCACAGCTGGCTCCCAGACCATCCCAGTGCATCTGGCCAATGCTGCCTTCTTCCAGGTAAGTAAAGGCCAGGCCCAGGTGGGAGCAGAGCAGAGGTCTGGGAGAGTACAGTCCCAGGTGGGGCCCCCTGCTCTGGGCCCGCCACCCATGCTTTGGTTTATTTGCTCTGAGTTTCCAGGTTCTGTTTGAGAAAGCCCCACTCTGGTTGCATGAGACTAGCAGAAGAAAGGGAGGTGGGTGGTGAGGGCCAGGCCAAGGGGACAGCAGGCCACCAGCAGCCTAAGAGAAACCCTGGTCAGGATCCATTGGGTATTAGTATGCTTTGGCCAGGACCCCCAGACTCCCCTACCCCTGAAGCTCCCTTGGCAGAGCTGGGCCCCAGCTTGTGGTGGATACTGCCCATGTTGTACCCCACCCTGCCCTGACCCCAGACTGAACTGCGACCCTGGACATGTCTCCCCAGTTGTGGCTGCCAGGTTATCCCTGGAGAATGGCCAGAGAACCTCTTTGCTGCTCCATGCCCCATTGTCTAGATGGGGGAAATGAGACCCAGAAAGATGATGTCAGTGCCTCTGGGTCACACATCAGGCTAGACTTGCACCCTAGCCCTGGACTCCCAATCGAGTGCTCTTCCCTGCAACCAGCCTTTCCTTCCCCCACTGCCCATCTGTGCTAGGGGAGGGGATGCCCCCCTTTCTGGGTCCCTCTTGGAGGAGCATCCTGGGTGGGAAGCGTTGATGAGTCCTGGAAGCATGCCAGCCACCCCCTTCCTCAGTTCTTGGGGACTTGCCATCTGTCGCTTCCACAAGGAAGCTGAGGCCTGTTGTCACATGTGGGGGCCACGTGCTGGGCATCTGGGATGTGTTGGGCAGCCACATGGTTGGACTGGAGCTCTGTGAGGGGCAGGTGAGGTTCTGCCCTTGACCCTCAAGCTCCACCCTGCAGTGGTTGGGGCCTAGCCTCCTGGAGCCTCCAGGACTCTGGGCCTGAGTGGAGGGAGGACAGTGCTGCTCCCCTAGGCTGCAGAAAGCTGGCACGGGGAGGCCCCAGCCCTGGTTTGGGTCCTGGCTGCTGCTTTCCAGCTGTGTAATTGGGGAACATATGCCTACCCTCCCTGAGCCTTAGTGATCTTGGCCCTCCTGTTCCCATGCCTGCTTCCAGAACACTGCTGCTCTGCAGCAGCCCTGTTTGCTGAGCCTCTACCCTGGGGACTCCCAGGACAGGCTGGATTTGCCATCCTCAAGGTGGCTGAGGCCTGAGCTCAGGGACTCAGAGTATAAACCCACCTCCCAGCTCAGCATGGCAGAGGATAAATGAGCTTTCAGCCCCGTCAGCAGCCACTTTCCTGTGTTAGCTACAGGATAAAGAGGAAGAGAGGGCAGGGTGGGGGGGAGGTTGCTGACCTGCTTTCTCCTTAGGGTGTCACATCTACCAGTGACAGGGACATAAACAGGAAGTCCTGCCACGTGGCTGACCTAATACTCATGAAACCCAAATCTGTTCACTCAACAAATATTTACTGATGCTACACCCCAGAAGCCCCATACTGGGCTGAGAACAAGATGAAACTGGGGAATTGGGCCCCGTTTATACACTCAACAAACATTTATTAAGTAACCTCATGCACACTGATAACAGCCAGTATATATTAGGTGCCCACCGTATGCAACCCACTAAAGAGACATGATTTCCATTTTTCTCAGCAAGCCTGCAGAGTAGGGAAGACTGTTTTCATTGCAAAGTTTAGAAAACCAAGGCTCAGAGAGGAGGGTTCATGTGTGCAGGGTGGCAGGGCTAGGAAGTAGCAGTGATTTGAACCTGAGCCTGCGTGAAGTAGAGCCTGAGTTCTTTCACTTGCCATCTGCTGCCCTTGGAGGTGTCAGAGGGCCAAGACGCAGCCCTAACCTTCCCCAGTGGGTCGGGGGACAGGTAGACACAGAGCCTGAGCAGTGGGATAAAGGTAGTCTTTGACATACAGGGTAGGGGGTAAGCTTTAGGAGCTTAACAGAGCCCTCAGCACATACCCAAGTATTTATTGCTGAACGAATGGATGAATGATCAGATGAGGGGTACCTCCCTGATCTGAGGGGTATCTGGGAAGGCTTGGAATGTGGGACATTTGAGCTGGATTTTGAAGGCTGTGCGCAGTTTTAGTAGGTGATAAGAGGCAAAATTTTCAGGTGGAAGAACACACTTGGTCAAAGGCCTGAGGGCAGGATAGTCTGTGCTTTGTCCAAGAATGTTCTGGTCTGGCTGGGGCATGGTCCTTGTGGGCAGAGGTGGCAGGTGTTAAAGTTCAAATAGCAGGTGGAGTCTCACTGGGATGAACCTTGAATGTCGGTCATGCTAAGAGTTACTCCTTTATGAGCAGAGTAAAAGGCCCTAGTTTAGGCCATTAGGGGATGTTGGAGGGGCCTTTAGTGGCATGGAGAGCACAAAGCCAAAGTTCTTGGTGTTTACGTACTCTTTGCCTCCCCCAAGCATTGGACATGGAAGCAAGGAAGGACATTCTGGAGGAGGGTACAGCCCAGGCAGAGGCCTGGTAGTAGGACCAAGCTCACTCTTCAGGGCAGCAGTCCATGATGTCCTAATGGAGTCGGAGGGCTGACCCGACTCTCCCCACCCCACCCGCTTGTTTTCCACAGAGTGCAGCTCTTGAATGTAGTTTTGGGCAGGAGGAGATCTTTGAGGCTGTGTGGGTGAATGAATCAACTGTACACTGCAACCAAGTGGTGGTGAGTGGTGTGGCTCCAGTGGGGGGCAGGGGAAGGCTTGCACAATTCCAGATGCTACACCGCCGTCTTCCCATCTTACTCCCTTCCTCCTTTTGGGCCCCCCATTCCCACTAGCCCTGCTCTCATCTCCATGACATCCCCTCCCCCAGCAGAGACCTGGACACCATCCACACCCTTCATGCTGTTTCCCACCCTTTTGCAGCTGCACACGACCCAGAAGAGCCAGGTGTTTCCACTCAGCCTCCAGCTAAAGGGGCGGCCAGCCCGATTCCTGGATAGCCCTGACCCCATGACAGGTCAGAGCCCTCATCTACCCCACATGGGCACAGGGGACTCAGCCACAATGGGTGCGCTCAGCCTTGGGGGTCTGATTCCAGTGCTCACCGCATAGTCACAGATGTCCCACCTCACCATTCCTTAACACAGACTCTCAGATCCCAGCCCTGCCATTCGGTACCCGGTCACTGGGTACTTGTCCCCATGTGAAATGAGGGCACAGGCCCTTTTGCAGAGGACTTGGTAAGAGTTTGCTGAGAGATGATGCACACAAAGCCTTACAAGGGTGTCTGGCACAGTCGGCACCCCCAAATGGTGGTTGATGTCCTCGCTCTTATATGTTTAAATCAATCCTCCAAAGGCCTGTCTGTTCATGGGGAGTCTCAGACATCTCTAGTAGACACAGGGCTCCCCACATCCTTGCCACGAAGGCCCTAGAAACAGCCTGCACACGGGGGCTGTGGAAAACCCTTCCTGCATGCTTCCTGGGATCACTCCAAGGGTCTATGGCCCATAATGCTCAGTGGTTTCCCAGCATCCCAAAGCTCCACTGTGGGGTAGAGACCCACTCAGGCCTGGGTGTGGATACCAGCTCTGCCGCTCACAGGCTGTGTGCCTTGGGTATGTCACTCTACCTCTTTTGAGTCTCATCTCCTATCTATCAAATGGGGCTAATAAATAGCTCCCCTCTGATAGAATCATGATGAGGATGAAATGATATTGAGGCTCTGGCTGCACTGTGCTTAGCACAGGGCCCGGGGCATTTAGAGGAAGTACTAAAAACCTCACAGGGTCCTGACCCTCAGAACCAGGACCTGCCTCTGGGTGGGACGACACCACAGTGAGAAGCCGAGTGTGGAGGGGAGAGCAGTAATGGGGGGCTGACCCGTGCTTCCTCCCTGTCTTTCTCAGTGGAGGTCTATAACTGCGCCATGGGCAGCCTTGACTGTTCCCAGTGCCTGGGCCGAGAGGACCTAGGCCACCTGTGTGTGTGGAGTGATGGCTGCCGCTTTCGGGGTCCCCTGCAGCCCCTGCCTGGCACCTGCCCCGCCCCTGAGATCCGAGCGGTAAGCACATCCCCCCTTGGAAGCCTGTTGCACCCACACGCCCGCATGTGCACTTGTGCAGTGCCCCACATGGGCTCATGGACCCACAGCACATGTGCTTGCACACAGCTGGACACGCTCATGCAGTATTATTACCTATTGAATACCTGTTTGGTACCCAGCCCCTGCTCACCGCTAGAGACAGCAGTGAACAAAAGAAAGTGCCTGCCCTCATGGAGCTATTGTTTTAGTTGGGGAGGGACAATAATGAGTAAGGAAATAATTTATATATAGAAGGTGGTAAATACTGTGGAGAAAAATAGCAGGACAGGGGTGTTGGGAATCATGTGGAGGAGATGCTGGCTGAGTGTGTCTAGTTTTATAGTGAGGGCAGGGGAACCTCGCTGAGATGGTGATAATTGAGGCTGCCAGTTATTCCTACGCCTTTGTTTTAATTAAGAAAAATGTCTCAGAGAAAGATTCTGATTGGCTTAGCCTGGATCAGGGGCCTTCCCAGGCCCAGTCAGCTCTGGCTGGGATGCAGGATTGTGTGGTCAGATGTGACCACTGAGAGTGGACCTTGGTGTCCTCAGGAGACCTCCTGCCCCACTAAGTAGCATGAACTTTGTCCACACAGCCTGTGTCCCCAGACCCCAGTGGGCTCAGTCACATACACGCACATCCTCACGCAACCCCAGTGACCTGCTGAGGGATTGGTAGTCACAGCGCTCTCAGAGCCTCCCCTAAGTGGCGGGTCCACACAGCTCTGCCACCCCTGGGTGCCTGCAAGAGGGGCGGGAAAGCTTGCCAGCACACCAGCCCTGGAACCTCTCTCTGGTCACCTGGCAGATTGAGCCTCTGAGTGGCCCCTTGGACGGCGGGACACTACTGACCATCCGTGGCAGGAACCTGGGCCGGAGGCTCAGTGACGTGGTCTATGGCGTGTGGATTGGCAGTGTGGCTTGTGAGCCACTGGCTGACAGATACACGGTGTCAGAGGAGTAAGTAGTGGGCAGTCCCTGGGGCTGTTTGAGTGACCTGTAGACCCCACCCTACCTGACAGTGCCAATGACATCTCTGCCCTCCCTTCTGCCGGTGGCTGTCCTACCTTTCCCAGCAAGACACCCTTCTGTTGCCCAGAAGTAGCTCACGCCCAGGTCTCCTGGACTTGGCTCAAGTTTTTCCACCGCATGTGGCGCCAGTTTTTTGCTCGTGACACCACTCCTTACCCTTCAAGTGCCCACTCCCCTGGGAAGCCCCCGTATTTCCCTAGACCAGCCTAACTTCCCTGAAGACTCGCTCTGATGAAAAGATGTGCATTTGAGAAAGTATGGGGGCTGCTGGTGAGGTGCAAAGATCTGGGCCTGTAGCTGTGGGGCATGGTCCAGAGAGCCTCTAGCAAACATTCAGGAGCAGGGAATTAATGAATTGGATTTCCTTTTGGGAGCCCATAAGGCAGGCTTACAGATAAGGCTACCAGCCCAGCAAACGTTCTCATGGTCAGAAAACTTCCAAGTGTCCTAAATGGCCATCTTGTCCAAGGGCTTGTCTTATAATTGCAGAATTGTGGGAAAGTTGTAGGGTAAGGGGTGGTCCCTGGGAAGAACCGGGGTGACACTTGGGGAACTCAGTGGCTGTTTCCAGCTGAAAGGGAAGTGAGCGGGTAATGCCCTCAGGCATGTGCCGGCCAAATGCCAGCCTTGGCTGTGAGTGGGAGGGGTGGGTGGCTGAATGCAAAGATGGGTTGCTCACGCACCCTGGGGTACAGTGAGGGGCATTGTTCAAGGGAGAAACTGGGAGGTGCCTGGATCTGCTGGCTGCTCTCCTGACCAAAGCTGCCTCCCACAGGATCGTGTGTGCCACAGGGCCAGCCGCTGGGGCATTCTCGGACGTGGTGACGGTGAATGCCTCCAAGGAGGGCAAGTCACGGGAGCGCTTCTCCTATGTGGTAAGGGGGACCGTAGCCTGCTATCCGACCCTCCCCATCACACCCGGGGGCTGACCTGAAGCCTGACCACCTGCCTTCCACCCCACAGATGCCCCTGGTCTACTCCCTGGAGCCTGCCATGGGCCCCAAGGCAGGGGGCACCAGGATCACCATCCATGGGAGCGACCTCCATGTGGGCTCTGAGCTCCAGGACCTGCTGAATGACACGGAGCCCTGCACAGAGCTTGTGTAAGCCCCTTGGCCCCGGCCACCCCGTCCACCCCATAAAAACCATGGGGTTAGGGAGCTGGAGAGGTAGGGTGATATCCTGGTACCAAGCATCACCCCTTGGCTAGGGCCCCTCCCTTCTCTGAGCCTCAGTTTCCTCATCTGGTAAGAATAGTACCAGTGAGTTGTAGGAAGTACTCTGTGCCCAGCATATAGTAGGTGCTCCATAAGTGGTAGCTACAGAAGATGGTGATGATCTTACACACTCTGAGATCCTCAGCTCTTGGTGAATTAGCTGTCTTTATTACATACTTTGTACCAGGCCCTGTGATGAACACTGCTGGGGACAGCAAGATGAGCCCAACACAGCCTCAGCCCTCAGGGGAAGGCAGACACTTACACAGGAAGTAGGAATATCTTGTGGGGTTGGGATTGGAAGAAAAGTCCAGGCTTTCAGGACCGTGGGGGCAGGGCCCTCACCAGGGGCAGGAATCGGGAGGGGAGCTCTGGGAAGGCTTAGTGGAAGAAGTAGGACTGGAAAATTGGGAAGTACAGGCAGGGTCAGAGAGGAGAAGGGATGGTATTCCAGGTGGGGAGGACAGCGTGAGCGAAGTAGGGCGAAGTGGGAATATGGACATATTTGTATACAAGGGGGCAGAAGGCCAGGTCGGGGCCAACTGAAAAGCCCTTAAACCCAGGCCAAGTGCACAGGCCTGTGCCCCTAGGTGGTGGGGCAGGAGGGGTCAGGTAAGGGCAAGTAGTGGGAGGCAGGGGCCCTGCTGACGGTGCCCGCTGCCCTCCCACAGGCGCACAGACACCAGCATCGCCTGCACTGTGCCTGGGGGCACGCTGCCAGCCCCTGTGCCCGTGTGTGTGCGCTTTGAGCGCCGGGGCTGCGTGCGCAGCAACCTCACCTTCTGGTACATGTGGAACCCGGTCATCACGGCCATCAGTCCCCGCCGCAGCCCTGTCAGGTAAAACCCAGACCCTGGCCCCCCGGGCGGGCCTCACTCTCCGGGCTGCAGCTGGACTGATGGGGCGTGCTGTCCCTACAGCGGCGGCAGGACCATCACAGTGGCTGGCGAGCGTTTCCACATGGTGCAGAATGTGTCCATGGCTGTGCACCACATTGGCCGGCAGCCCACGGTGAGGGGACGGGACTGAGGAGGGCGGGAGAGGTAGGGGTGACCAGTATCCCTGACTGACCATGCCTCACTCTGCTGCATCTCTCCTATCTCTGTCTCTCCTAATCTCTTTGCCTCTGTCTCTGTTTCCCCATCTTTTCTTGTTTCTTTGTCTCTCTTCCTGTCTCTACCTCTTCCTCTTTGTCTATCTCCTTAATCTCTCCCCATTTCTCCATGTCCATCTGCATGTCCCCCATTTCCAACCTTGGCCTGTGGCCCTCTCCCACCAGCTCTGCAAGGTTCTCAACTCCACCCTTATCACTTGCCCATCTCCCGGGGCCCTGAGCAATGCATCGGCACCAGTGGACTTCTTCATTAATGGGCGGGCCTATGCCGACGAGCTGGCAGTGGCCGAGGAACTGCTGGACCCCGAGGAGGCACAGCGGGGCAGCAGGTTCCGCCTGGACTACCTCCCCGACCCACAGTTCTCCACGGCCAAGAGAGAGAAGTGGATCAAGCACCACCCTGGGGAGCCCCTCACCCTAGTCATCCATGTAAGTGCCAGTGGGTGCCAGGTAGGGGGAGTAAGTGGGCCAGGCTTAGCTATGCATCTCAACACTCACCCCGCTCCTCTCCCACAGAAGGAGCAGGACAGTCTGGGGCTCGAGAGCCACGAGTACCGAGTCAAGATAGGCCAAGTGGCCTGCGACATCCAGATTGTCTCAGAGAGAGTCATCCACTGCTCGGTCAATGAGTCTCTGGGTACAGCTGAGGGGCAGCTACCCATCACGGTGAGTAGACAGGGCACTGGAGGCATAAGTGGACCTGGCCCCTCGACCCTTCTGCCTGAGCACCTGCCCCTTGCTCCAGTACATTGGAGCTGAGCATTTTCATGCTCAGTAGCTTAGGCAAGCAGAGCAAAGCAGAGCTTTTACATCCCCACTTGATAGATGAGGAGACTGAGGGCCAAGAACTTAGTGACCCATTCAAGGTCAGTGATCAGCCCCAGGTAGGCCTGATGGGGCTGGACTCTGAGAGGCCATAAGCAGTTGCCCCTGTTCCACCAGGTACTCCGCCCAGAGCCTGGGCTTCTGGTCACCACACAGAGTCACGGAGGGGAGGGAAGCAGGAGTGGAGGGAAAGCCCAGAAAGTGGGAACTTTTCTGCACTGTACCTGCTTGCATGCTTCTGGGAATGGGGAGCTCATTTCCTCACAGGCAGCACTTGCCACCCCAGGACAGCTCTGACTGGGAAAGCTCCCTTTGATCTGCACCCCAGTTCTACTTCTGCCCTTCAAGACCTGCTCCCCGGTCCTACGACAACCCTACAGATACTTGGCGACAGAAGCCAGGCTCTATGAACTGCCCTACCTCTGGCTCCTCCCAGGCTGTATAATAATAATCACACCCCGCCTGTGCTCCATTTCCCCTCTGTGCCAGGCCCAGGACTAAGGGCATGACAAGCAAGCATCATCTTAGTTAACCCTCACACTATCCCCAAGAGGTGGGTGTAGTTATTATCTCTGTGTTGCAGATGTGGCATCTGAGTCTCAGAGAGGTTAGGCGGTTTTTCCCAGGCCACAAAGCTAGTGAGGAAAAGAGCCAAGGCATAAGTCCAAAAGAGCTACAACCACCCTCCCCTCACCTTTGTGCAGATCCAGGTAGGGAACTTCAACCAGACCATTGCCACGCTACAGCTGGGGGGCAGTGAGACCGCCATCATTGTGTCCATCGTCATCTGCAGTGTCTTGCTGCTACTCTCCGTAGTTGGTAAGGAGCCCTGCACTCGTGACACCTTGGAGGGCAGACCTGCCCCACCTTGCCCTAGCCCCTCTGAAGATGGGCAGAAAAAGCATAATGGGTTGGGGGCACAGCTCGAACAAAGGCTTGGGAGTGGGAACAGGTTCTGCACCCAGAGGTGGGGTGAGAGGTGTGCCCGGCTACAGCACAAATGGGTGAAAGACAGTAGATGTTGGGAGGATGTGCTTGGCCCAGGCCGTGGCCCCAGGTGCCAGGCAGAAGAATTTGGAATCTCGTTCTCCCGTCGATAGGGAGCTACTGCAGGTACGTAAGAGAGGGTTGTTCAGGGAAGTTAACTGAGGCTATACTACTATTAAAGTAATGGCTATAAACGTAATATAGTCAGTGCAGCAGAGAAAGTAGAACCCTCAGACACTGTTGGTGGGGTTGGAAGATGGTGCTGCCACTGGAAAACGCTTTGGCAGTTTCTCAGAACATTAGAGAGTCCTCATGTGACCCAGCAACTCCACTCCTGGGTATCTCCCCGAGAGACGTGAAAACATGTCCACACAAACCTTGTGCATGAAAATTCATAGCAGCACTGTTTCTAACAACCAAAAAGTAGAAATAATCCAGTGTCCACCGACTGAGAAATAAACAAAATGTGGTATGTACATACAATGGAGTATTATTCAGCCATGAAAAGGAATGAAATACTGATTCATGCTCTATTGTGGATGAACCTCGACAACGTGATCCTAAAGGAAAGAAGCCAGCCACAAAAGACCATGTATTGTAGGACTGCATTTATATGAAATATCCAGAATAGGTAAATCCTTAAGAGACAGAAAGCAGATTACTGGTTGCCAGAGGCTGGAGAAGCGGTGTGAGGAGTGACTGCTGGTGGTTAGGGGTCATCGTGAGGCAATAACAGTATTCTAAAAGTAGAGAGTGGCGATGGATGCACAACCCTGTGAAGATACTGAAAGTCATTGACTTGTATACTTCAAATGGATGGATTATATGGAATGTGCGTTATATCTCAACAAAGCTGTTTTTAATAAATACTCAGTGGAGAAAATTTTAGAGAAAACTGAATGAAGCTGAAAAGAAAAAAACCTATCATTAACACCGTAAATATGTTGGTATATTTCCTGCCAGTCTCTTTTCTTAAAATTTTATATAATATGTATAATATATACAAACATATTACATATGATTATATGGAATGTGCGTTATATCTCAACAAAGCTGTTTTTAATAAATACTCAGTGGAGAAAATTTTAGAGAAAACTGAATGAAGCTGAAAAGAAAAAAACCTATCATTAACACCGTAAATATGTTGGTATATTTCCTGCCAGTCTCTTTTCTTAAAATTTTATATAATATATATAATATATACAAACATATGACATATAAAAATGTAAAATATTTCAATATTATATGTTCTCTTCCCCCACCCCAGAAAGAGATTATAATATAATTCTGCTTTGTAAGCTGCTTTTAAACATTTAATTCACGAGTAACACCTAGTCATTGTAGAAAGAATTGAAAATGCTAAAAAAACAGAAAAGATAAATCACCCATAACTCTCTCACCTAGGGAAAGCCACTGTTTACCACTATTTTACACACACATATACACACACTTCGTTTCATAAGAATGGAACATTGAGCTTTATTTCACTGGCTGTTCCCCAAGCCCTGTGCCCCGCAGGAAGGGAGGACCGAGGGCCACCTTTCCGTACCCTGCTCAGAGAAGGTGGGGCTGAGTCCAGAAGGCAGGACCTTTCCCTCCAGGCCCAGGCCCAGCATACAGCAGGTGCCAACAAATACTGTCCAAAGGGCTTTCAAGGCCTGACCCCCCTCTCCGCTGCCTGCAGCCCTGTTTGTCTTCTGCACTAAGAGCCGCCGTGCCGAGCGCTACTGGCAGAAGACCCTGCTACAGATGGAGGAGATGGAATCTCAGATCCGAGAGGAAATCCGTAAAGGTAGTAGCGGGTGGGGACTGTGCAGGACTGTGGGCCTTGGCTTTCCCAACTCGGGGGTGGGTTTGAGATCCACTCACTGCCACCTGCCTGTCGCCAGGCTTTGCCGAGCTGCAGACGGACATGACGGATCTGACTAAGGAGCTGAATCGCAGCCAGGGCATCCCTTTCCTGGAGTATAAGCACTTTGTGACCCGCACCTTCTTCCCTAAGGTCAGCCTGTGCCCTCGCCAGCCACTGCAGGGGCTCCTGGGCCTCTCTCTAGGCCGCGACACTCTAGAGGGCACTTTTATGCGTATAGGCTAGTACGGTGTGGGCCCCTTGAGCAGTAGTGCAAAACTGCACACCCACCCACAGTGCTTATCAGGGGAGGGGGCTCAGTTTCTCCTACTTTCCTTCTCTACTCACTCGATGTTTAACTGTCCGTACAGAAGCCAGCTGCCAGCCCTCCTAGGGTGCTGGGCCTGCATCGCCCCTCACTGAGGGGACCTTAGAGGCAGCCCACATGCTCCCAGGCCCCACGTACCCTGCCGGCCTCTCTCATCTCTAGGCCCCTTCTCAGCCAGATTTCTCTTGATCTCCATGTCCCCTCCTCCTGCCCACTGGACTCTGCCCCATCCCTTCCATGCCTCTGCTATAGGGGCTGCTGCCCTGTCCCCACCTCCTGGCCTGTCCAGAGCATTTGTGCCAGTAGCCAGTGCCCTCCTCTTGCCCTGTCCACACTATTCTCCATGCAGCAGCCAAACAAGCCCATGTCATTATTCTACACTGAGTTGCTTTTGCTTCCTTTTAAGCCTCGTGCCCTCTTACATGGCCTCATCTTGGCTCTGCTGGTTCCACTCCTCCTTTTCCTCCAGGAAGCCCTCTGGGACACCCCTCCTCACTCCTCTGGAATTCTGTGGCTCCCTGGGCATGCCCCACTGCCTCTTCTTCCTTTATAAAGTGTCCCTTTGCCTTTGTTGAGCAGCCCTTGCATGCCAGTCAGGGCATGCAAGCCTCACTGAGGTACTGGGGTCTGCCTCCACAGTGTTCCTCCCTCTATGAAGAACGCTATATACTGCCCTCCCAGACCCTTAATTCACAGGGGAGCTCCCCGGTGCAGGAGACCCACCCACTGCTGGGAGAGTGGAAGGTGAGTACCCCCAACTCCCCAAGTGCTGACTCCTAGACCAGGCAGAGGCATTGGACCCCTGAACTCCTGTGGACACGCCATCACCAATTGCTTTCACAGATCCCTGAGAGCTGCCGGCCTAACATGGAAGAAGGGATCAGTCTGTTCTCCTCGCTGCTCAACAACAAGCACTTCCTCATCGTCTTCGTCCATGCACTAGAGCAGCAGAAGGACTTTGCAGTGCGTGACAGGTCAGACAGCGAGGCTCTGGGGATGGGGCAGGGGCCTGTCTGAGGCCACACCACTTAGTGTCCTGGGTTGCCCTGGACAGACCCTAGGCTAGGACAGTTTGCAAATTATCATGTCCTCTGGGCAGCGGGCTGGCCTCCAGCATCAGGCCCTGGGTCCTGGAGGTCCTGAGACGACCCCCATTCCTCCCCTTCCTGGGCCTGGAATCCACCTGCACAGGCTCACCAGTGATGAGGTGGCCCCGGAGCCCCCACCATGCGGTCCCCAGATCCCAGGGCCATCAGGGGTAGACAGAGCTGATGCCCCACGCCCACACACAGGTGCAGCCTGGCCTCCCTGCTGACCATCGCACTCCACAGCAAGCTCGAGTACTACACGAGCATCATGAAAGAGCTGCTGGTAGACCTCATCGACGCCTCGGCCGCCAAGAACCCTAAGCTCATGCTGCGGCGCACAGAGTCTGTGGTTGAGAAGATGCTCACCAACTGGATGTCCATCTGCATGTACAGCTGTCTGCGGGTGAGGCGGCTGTAACGGTGCAGCGTCCACCACCTGCGAGCCTTCTCGCAATAAATCGGACTTTGTTTTATCCTCTCGCCAGCTCTTCCAGGAGGGTTATCACGTCCTTCGTGCAGATGTGGCAAGAGGGACTCAGGAGGGCGGGGGCAGGCTTCTTGGGAGGGCTCAGAGCCAGCTCGGGAAGAATGGAGGCAGTGTCAGGGGCTTTGTTCCAGAAGATTGTTTTCTTAGTCATCGAACTCTCCAGAAAATGGGGCATCACTCGCTTCCACCTCCTAGAACTAGAGAAGTGGATCAGGAATAAGAGTTGGCATGCCGCCTTTTTAATCTTTGCCAAATCTGCCTAACACTATTATATACTTAATTTTTCCCTTAAACCAGCTTACTGTTTTTACCTAAGTATCTAACATCAATGGAACACCCGAGTCACTCAGTATAAAATTACCATGAAAATCAGCTCATGGCAATGGATGGCAACAGTCCTTTGTTGGCTGTGTGTGCTTTGTGAAAGGGAGGTTGGCGAGGGTAGGGGTATCTGAGGCCCCAGGCAAGCCCAAGACTCTCCATCTGAACTCACCTTGTAAGGCTTAGCAGAAAGAGTCACAGGCTTGGGAGTCAGCTGATCCAGGGTTCGAGTCCAGCTCTGCCACTTCCCTGCTGGGTGACCCTTGGCTGGTGGCTTGCCCTTTCTGAACTTTGGCAGTACCTGGAAAGGTTCCTGGGATTATGAAAGGAATGAAGGCGCCCACCCACAGCTGGTGGTGTTCCACCTTACAGAGTCCATGGAGACACCTGGAGGGCTAGGGGGACGTGGGATGGCATCAGATCCAAAAGGGAGGTGATTAAACAGGTAGCCGTGGAGGTGCTGATGGATCAGGGCAGTGTTCCAGATGGTGGCCACAGCACTGCCAGAGGCTTGGGGGCTGAAGTGCGGGCGTGCAGGGAGGTGGTGGGGCCTGGGCTGGGCGGGCTGGGCCTCAGCCCCGACAGCCTGTGTCCACCCCAGGAGACGGTCGGGGAGCCGTTCTTCTTGCTCCTGTGCGCCATCAAGCAGCAGATCAACAAGGGCTCCATCGACGCCATCACAGGCAAGGCGCGCTACACGCTCAACGAGGAGTGGCTGCTGCGGGAGAACATTGAGGCCAAGCCCCGGGTGAGCCTGGTGGGGCAAGGGCAGCAGGGCAGCAAGGAGGGACTGTCTCCCGGGCTGGCTGGGAGAGGCGTCCCAGAATGCCTGGCGGCTCCACTGTTGCCCCAGCCACCCCAGGCAGGTTGTCGCCCCACCTGGGCCCAGGGCGCTAATAGCGGGGACTTGCTGACCCTTTCCCCCCTCTCGTGCAGAACCTGAACGTGTCCTTCCAGGGCTGTGGCATGGACTCGCTGAGCGTGCGGGCCATGGACACCGACACACTGACACAGGTGAAGGAGAAGATCCTGGAGGCCTTCTGCAAGAATGTGCCCTACTCCCAGTGGCCTCGCGCCGAGGACGTCGACCTCGGTGGGCAGGGGGGTGGCGAGGCACAACTTGGCGCTGGGCTGCTTTAGTGGGAGTCAGCCCCTGCCTTGGTCACATACTGCTTTCACTCCTTTCACAAAATTAATATGCATTAATTTTGGCACTGGGAACATGAAGATGGTGAGATAAGGTGCCCAGCAGCAAGGAGCCCCTTTTCTGGTGGGAGACAGGTCCTACAGTGCGAGCAAGCTACAGGCAACAGCAAAAAGTGTTCAGGAAAGGCTTTTCCAAGAAGATGTGAGAGTGAGTTTTGAAGGATGCATAGGAATCGTGGTTTGGCCAAGAAGATGGGGCCATTCGTTCTATGATCATAGGCCTTTCCTGAGCACTTGGTCTGTGTCCGGGCCTCTGGCCGTGATGGTGACCAGGCAGGCACAGTGACTGTTCAGAACAGGGAACTTTGGGTGGCTCTCCAGGCCTGGCATGCAGGAGACCGGGTGGGCTGAGATAAGGCGTTCAGTTACCCAGAAACTGGAAGGACACTTGGGCTTTACCCTGAGGACAGTGGGGAGCCATGGAAGGCGTGTGACCCCTTCATAGGTGGTGCCTTATTTAATCAGCAGAAGCAACAGTAACAACCCCGAGGTTGAGGACATTTCCAGGGCTCCTGTTCTGTACCCACTCCCGCAGCAGCCGGTTCTGCAGTTTTCTCCTCTTCCCCATTTACAGATGGGGAAGTAGAGGCTCAGAGGCATGGCAGGCCCCAGGTTCCACAGAGAGATAGCAAGTGGCCTCACCCCGTGTGGCCAGGCTGGTGCTGCCCCGTCAGGCGGGCTCTTTACCCCTGGCCCTGACACCCTCTCCCCATCTCCAGAGTGGTTCGCCTCAAGCACACAGAGCTACATCCTCCGAGATCTGGACGACACCTCGGTGGTGGAGGACGGCCGCAAGAAGCTCAACACTCTGGCTCACTACAAGGTGGGGTCCCCAGTCCCAGCCAACCCCCACTCCCAGCCTATCTAACCTGATCTCTGACCCTGGCCTCTCCCCTCCTGTCAGATCCCTGAAGGTGCCTCCCTGGCCATGAGCCTCACAGACAAGAAGGACAACACACTGGGCCGAGGTAGTGCCGGTGGACGTGGGGAGGGTGTCTGTAGCGCCTTCTGAGCAGTCCTAATGGGGAAACTGAGGCTTCAAGGCAAGGTTGGGCTGGGCTGTGGCCTCTTTGATGGGGGCAGGGGCTGCACCAGGCCCCTCTGCCCTAGTACTGCTTGGGCAGGGCCTATGGCCAGGCCTCCTCCAGGCTGCTTTCCTTCAGGCAGCCAGTTAGAGGCCCCAGGAGGGTAGGATGTTGTTCCCCTAGGTCTGGGCAGTTGCCAGGCCAGAGGGGGACGCTGGCATGCCCATCTGGGCTGTGGGCTGTGTCTCTGCCTCAAGTCCTACCATCCACACTCTCAGATGCCCCAAACCTGTCTGCTTAGCTGCCAGGCCTGGAGTCCTAGGCTCCTCTGGATCTCAGGGTCTCCTCCTAAGGTCAGGAGCAAGATCTCAGGTCTCTCCCAGCAGCTTATGAGGACTGGGTTGGCAGGAGCTCTGGACTAGGGGGTGGCATGAATGAGGGCAGCCACCCCTGGGGTCTGTCCCATCTCCATACGTGACTGTGTCTCTGCTTCTCTCCCCATCTCTCTGTTTCTCCTGTCACTCTTAGTGCCTCTACCTTTGTCTCATCCTCTGTGTTTTTCTGGAGCTCATCTCTTTCTTTGCATTTTTCTCTTTGTTTCCGTCTCATTCTCCCCATGTGTCTCTTTGGAACTCTCCATTTTTCTTGGTTTCTCTCCATTTCTGTTTCCTCTCGCTCTCCCCATCCACTCTTCTCTCTTGTTTATTTATTGTGTGTGTTTTTCCTCTCGCAGTGAAAGACTTGGACACAGAGAAGTATTTCCATTTGGTGAGTGCCCAGCTTCCAGCTCTCAGGCCTCCCACCCCTCAGTGGGCGTGGATTTGGCTTCCTGCCACCCTTGGCCTCTGGGGAGAGTGCTCTGGGCCCTGGGAAAGGATGGGGGTGGGGGAGCGGGGATGAGTCTCAGAATCAGCAGCGAGCCTGGTCATTTGTACACACAAAGTATATGCAGACCAAGTGCCTATAGGCAAAGAACGGGACCTTCCCTGGGACAGCCAAGGATGGTGCCTGGTGCTGGTACTGACCACCACCCCGGCCGCCCAGGTGCTGCCCACGGACGAGCTGGCAGAGCCCAAGAAGTCCCACCGGCAGAGCCACCGCAAAAAAGTCCTACCGGAGATCTACCTGACCCGCCTGCTTTCCACCAAGGTAGGCCTGGCCTCACGTCCTCATCTTGGGAGGTCATTGTATACACGCACCTATGAGGGTGAGATGGGCTCTCAGGGCAAGAGGCTGAGAGCTTAGGGTCCTGCCCAAGGAAGGTTTTGCTCTCAGCCATGAAAAGTGCCCGACAGGGCAGCAGAGGCCCAGAGGGGTCAGTGATGTCACATGGCTCGGGTGGCAGTCAGCACTCTAGAGACCAACTCTGGCCTCACCAATTCCTCCGCTCTATGCCCCGGTCCTTTCAACACCCCTGTGAGGTAGTTTTTACTAATGTATTTCACAGATGAGAAAACTGAGACTCGGAGGTTAGGTGACCAGCCTGATGCCACATGGCTTTTGCATTAACCAGCCTGGGTACCACAGGCTCCCTGGAGCCACGGAGGTGCCCACTTACTCTCTACACATGGTGCTGTAAGCGGCCACCCTGCTCCCCTGTAGGGCACGCTGCAGAAGTTTCTAGATGACCTGTTCAAGGCTATTCTGAGCATCCGTGAGGATAAGCCCCCACTGGCTGTCAAGTATTTCTTCGACTTCTTGGAGGAGCAGGCTGAGAAGAGGGGGATCTCAGATCCTGACACCCTGCACATCTGGAAGACCAACAGGTGGGTGGTGCATAGGTGGGGAGGGCTCTGCAGCTTCCATGTGTCATTTTGGGCAGCAATAGTGTGGGGGTTCAGAGCCCAGTCTGTCAGATCACCTGCCTGGGTTCAGTTTCTACTCTGCCACTTCCCAGCTGTGTGATTTTAGGTAGGTGACTTAACCTCTCTGTGCTTTAAGTTTCCCCCTGTTGTAAAACCAGGGCAATAAAAGCAATTCACCTTAATTATAAGAATTAACTATAAGTGAGCATTATGTAAGTGTTGCCCTTACCCTCATTTGCCCTCCACCCTTCTCAGGCAGACACCGTGAGCTCCGTGTCACAGCTGACGCTCACAGAGATGTGCCTACCCAAGATCACGCAGCCCTTGTAATGGCAGAGCCAGGCACAAAGCCGCATGATCTGACCCCCATACCCAGTCTGTAGCCTTCCTTTGAGGCATGTCTTAGCTTTTTGGGGTCACAGATCCCAGCAAGTCGTTGAAAACCTCAGCCTGACCCTTAGAAACAATACCACAGGCCCAGGAGTTTCTGTGCAGAGACTTCTCAGAGTTCTGAGGGTCCATAAGTCCTGGGCTGTCAAGTCACTGGGAGGCCCTGGAGTTGGGGTGTTACCAAACTTCTGGCCTCCTGAGGCCACGGCCAAGAATCCAGGGCCCGCCCTCCTTCAGCCCTTGCTGGCTGCTCGGTGGCCCCAGCTAATGGCCGACTTCCTGTTGCCGTGGGAGGCTGAGGGAGGATCCACGGGCTGCTAGGCGGGGTGGGGGTGCTTCTAATGAGAACCAGGACCTGAACTGAGGCTCCTTCGGGAGACTCTGCAGGGGGTAGGGGCGGGCAGTAAGGATGGACTCAGGTCCCCATGCCCCAGCCAGGCCTGCACCTCCTGCCTCAGCCTCCTGCCCTGCTCCATGCGGGAAACCTGGTTTCTAGCTGCTTTGCTGCCTCAGTCGGCAGGGATGGTCAAACAGCCCCATCTGAGGATGAGCACACACACAGGTTTCCAGAGGTTCCATCTTGTGGCTAGGTTCCACGGGCCCTGAGGGATAGAGCCAGTCTGCCCTCTGGCCCTCGCTGCCCCACCCTCAAGGTGGGCTCACGGTGCCTCTACTGCCCCCATCCCATAGCCTTCCTCTCCGGTTCTGGGTGAACATCCTGAAAAACCCCCAGTTTGTCTTTGACATCGACAAGACGGACCACATCGACGCCTGCCTCTCGGTCATCGCACAGGCCTTCATCGACGCCTGCTCCATCTCCGACCTTCAGCTGGGCAAGGTCAGCTGCTCTCGGGAGCAGGCTGCCCAAGGACTGGGCTGCAGGAGAGTGGGAGGGGAACTGCAGGAGCTCAGATCTGGGGGACATGGGATGACTAGGGACCTTCTGACAGGGGGAAGACTCCCAGACACTGGTACCTACAGTCAGAAACTAACTGCATCACTGCAGACCAGCTACACCTGCCTCAGGTGTGCCTAGCACCAGCTCCTGACATTTAGGCCACAGGGCCAGGCCTAGGAAGCCAGTGTGAATGGAAAACCTGCTTGGTCAGGCACAATATCATCTGATAATCAGCCAGGCTCCAGGCAGCAGTCCTGATAGTCAAAAGCCATCTGAGTAGGCACTGCAAGGAGCGGTGGGCAGAGGGGGAGCGGGTGACCAAGACCTCTGAGATGCATGCAGGAGGAAGCTCCCCGAGGCATCTTTCATTGCGGAGAGGAGCCAGCTGGCTTCAGAGGGTAGAGAAGAGAGAGCACTGGTTGCTGTGAGCATTAAGAAGATAGTGGAATGAGACCTGGCAGGATGGTAGGTGCATGGCCCTGCATTGAACCCGTGACTTTCAGAGACAGGCCGCGAGAGGTAGAAAATGCCCTCACTTCTCCACCCTTATCTCAGAAGGCAAGATGCCTGTAACAGACAAAGAACTGGGAGCATACTTGGCACATTTCACTTTTGGGCGTTGGAAACATGTGGTGGGAAATATTCCACTGAGCCAGCAATCAGGCTTCCAGAAATCTTAGCCACCAAGACTGATAACCCTAAGCAAGGATGTAAACAAAACAGCCTGCACGTGACAGAGAACTGGCACATAGCCCATGCAAGAATTAGGTCCCCTTTTAGGTCATCACCCTGACAGCCCTGTAGAAAATAGGGCAGGGGTTTGATGTAAGAGGGCAGCAGAGGGGTGGGGAGCTGACGACCCCTGGTCAGTGAGGGGGCCATTAGTGTCGTAGTAGGAACCAGGGCTCATCCAGAAAAAGATCTGTCCAGTCTCTTATTCCCTCACTCCTCTCTACCCAGGATTCGCCAACCAACAAACTCCTCTATGCCAAGGAGATCCCCGAGTACCGGAAAATCGTGCAGCGCTACTACAAGCAGATCCATGACATGACCCCACTCAGCGAGCAGGAGATGAACGCACACCTGGCTGAGGAGTCGCGGGTATGGGTGGACCGCGGGGGTCTAGGATATGACTGTTCAGTGAGGGGCTGTGAGAAGCTGTGGGTTTGTGTATAAGCATCAGATCTGGGCTGGGCCCAAGTCTGATGGCTGGGTTAACCGCCTCTCCCAACTTCCTCCTTTTCTTTCCTTGCAGAAATATCAGAACGAGTTCAACACCAATGTGGCCATGGCAGAGATTTATAAATATGCCAAGAGGTATCGCCCACAGGTGGGTACCTCGGGTGTGAGGCACCCTCCCCACTCCGCATTACAGCCCTGCTCACTTCCACTCTGCTGAGGAAAAGGGAGGTTCCCACTCCAGTATTCACATCCCAGGACGTTTGTACTTTAGGAGCGGGTCACCAGCTGTAGAAATCCAGGCAGTGCATTCTCCCCCAAGATCTGTGGGCCCAGGGCTGAGATCCAAATGCCCCTCTGCTTCCCCCTCAGATCATGACTGCCTTGGAGGCAAACCCCACAGCCCGGAGGACCCAGCTGCAGCACAAGTTTGAGCAGGTGGTGGCTCTAATGGAGGACAACATCTACGAGTGCTACAGTGAGGCCTGAGTCTGAGGGACATGGTGCTGGGGAGGAACAGGGGGCCCAGCCCTCGACTTTACTTGATCCTCAGTGCCTGACTCCAGCTGGGTGATGATGAGCAGAGTCAGCTTTGGGAGAGGGGAAATGAGGGGGCCTCTCCGAGCCAGGCAGAGGAGCCCCTAGCCCTGGCCCCTCGGCACTTCTGTCCCCTCCCACCTGCCCCCAGACTTGGCCTCTGGGATGGAGACTTGAATGCCACAGCCAGTCTCTGGTCAGGCTCCCACCGTCCACCAGCACAGCCTGGACGGTGCCCCCCACTCGCTCGCTGTCACAGCCAGCTGCTAAAGCTCCGGCCTGACTCAGCCCAACAAATGAAGAAACAAAGGCCACCTGGCCCAGAGGCCGCAGCTGGAAACACTACCTCACCTTTTCTGACAGAGGGGAGCCCTCCTTGAACCAGCCCTCTATTAGTTTCTGCTTCAACCACCAAAACTTTGTCTCCATCTCCCCGGAGAGGACCCTGGGACACGGTTTCAAGTGATGTCAGATTTTTGTTGCTCAAGCGGCTACTGGTGGAGTGGGCAGTGCCCACTGCCCATGGGGAGGCTCCATGGGCTTTCCCTGGAGATGGGGAGGGCAGAGGACAAGGGGACAGGTGCTAGGCGATCCTGATCTCGGGGGCGGCAGCGGGGGGAGAGGGGGTGGGGGGAGGGGGCTAAGTTGCACCAAGGCTGTAGCTGGGCTACTTGATCTTGCTGGAAGTGTTTCTAAAGATAGCACCACTTTTTGTTGTTTTTTTAAGAAAGCTTTTATATATGAAACTTAACCACGCACCAACTGTGAATAGCTGCCGCTTGTGCAGAGGACCTGGGGAGGGGAACCAAGGGGCTCCCTATGCAACACTGGAAATGACTGTTCCAGAGGATGGGCAGACCTGGCAGAGACCCTCCTCAACACCCTGAGAAATTTTCACCCATTCTGTTCCTGTGACAAGCAACCCTTTGGCTGACCCGGCTCCCCCATAGCAGACCCAGCCAGCACAGGGCCCGGCTCAGAGCCTCGGGGGCTGGGCTGGAGATGGAGTGGCTGGGATGCTCTGGAACCTTTCTTTATAATAAAAGTCTGATGGGAAAACCTGCTGTGGGCTCCAGCCTTTATCCTGAGACGGCCAAGGAGGGAAAGCAGTGCTTGTAGCAGGAGCAAGGGGAACCTGGCTTAGAACCTAACTCAGCCTTCGAAGGAGGCTATCTCGCTATTGGATGGTTCAGTGGGACAATGTGAGTGCCTGCTTGTCATTGTTCTGGCCCACAGCTGACATTCTCTGGTCTCTGAGGGCACCCTTGGGACCTCTCCAGGAAGAAGTCAGCTACTGTGTGCTACCTACCTCTGGGGTAGGCCCTGCTCCTAACCCACTTACCTTTAACAAGCCCATGAGGAATATAATATTGTCACCATTTTACAGATGTAGAAACTTATTCAGCTCCACGAGGAATTTCCCCTGGTTGCACAGCCAAGGAGCAGCAGAGTGGGTCACAAACCAGGTTATCTGGGCCTTCATTCCTCTGTTCCCTTTCTCCTCTAGGCCAGAGTCTCCACAGCAGCCCCCAGAATGTGTGGGAAGGTGAAAGGTGACGGTCCTGGAAAGAGCTGACATTTACACTCACCCTGATTTTTTTTTTTTTTTTTTTCCTCTCAAAAACTGTATCATTAACCCCATTTCTCAGATAAGGAAACGCAATTTCCCCAAGGGCAGTGTAACCCTGGTTTGTTCCCCGTAGGTAGGGCAAGCTGTTCCTCACTGCATCCCGTGAGTATGGTTAACCTGATTTGAAGTCAGCAAATACCCAGAGACCCCCAGCACACCCTGCTGGTTCTGGGCCTGAGCTGGGAGTGAGGTTCATCCTTGACCTTCTAGAAAAGGTCACTAGTAAGCAAAGCCATCTCCAAATTAGAAGCAGCTCAAGTTAGTTTTTTTTCCTTCATTAAGGAAAGCACACACATTTATCAAGGGTAAGAACTAGAACAGAAAAATTTGCACAATTTAAACAAAATCCCACAAATATCAGTTTTAGAATTAATGAGAACAGAAAAGTGAGAGGGGAAAAGTAAACAATATTTAACTTTAAAAATAGACTTTTCCTGTAGTGGCTTTTGAGTGGAGATAGATTATCTTCGAATTATCTATTCTGAGCACTGATTTCTTTTTATTAAGCAGCAGGTTTTCTAATTTAAGTTATTGACACATTTGATGGGGATTTTTTTTTTTTTTGGTGTGATTCTATAATGAATACATGTTTCCTGTAGAAATGTCAGGAAGTACAAAAAGCATGAAGAAAATAAAAGCTACCCTCACCCACCCATGGTTAATATCTCAGAGAATGCTGTTCCAAATTGTGTGCTTGCCTGTGTTGGCTGAGGTGTAAAAATTAGGATCAGAGTGTACATACCATTTTGTAACCTGCCTTTTCCCCCATGCAACAATATGTCAGTAACATCTTTCTATGTCATTAAATATTCCACAGCCTGTTTTAATGCCTGATTAACATGCAATTCCTTCTTGAAGTTTAGAAATGCATTTGCAAATGGAGGAAAGCTCTAGCTTCCAGGGTCATTTCTCGGTACGAAGGCGGCCAATTTCTGTGAACCACCCATAGTCTTTGGGCCCCTGAAGACTTGCCTTGCAGCTACAGGCATCCCTTTGCTCTGTCTGAGGGTCACAGGAGGTGGGGGCCTTTGGTGTAGTGTCCTCATACAGCGGAAGAGACTTGGCCATCTCATAGGTGCCAGATGCTGTCCAGCTTCTGTCAGGTCAGGGGTACTGGACTGCCCCCAGCTCATGGAGGCAAGACTCTCAGTGATACTATCCAAGACCCTACCCAGGTACCTCCCACAGTCCCTGGCCAAGCCATGAAAGAAGCAGAGACAGAACCAAATACCGCCCCCCAACCTGGGAAGTGCCAGCCCAATCTCTTACCATCTGCTTACAGTGCCCCTTGGGGTCCTGCTGGCAGCCACATTACAGACACACCAAGGAAGCTGTTGGCACAGCTAGACAAAACCTCATGTGGGATTTGAGGAGTGGGGTATAGGGAGCAGGGGAAAGATTAGAACAGTCATGCCCCATGCTGATCTGCCTCAGTTTCCCTTTGTGCCCTATCTGTACCTCATTAAGTCCTGCTCAGTGTACCTGACTTTCTTCAAATTTACCCTTTCCTTCTCTGCCCCTTCCTTGGCTTAGCCATCACCTCTCAACTGGACAATCTCTTTTCATCATTGACCCCATTCTACATCCATCCCCTCAGCAAATCTCATCTACCCTGCTTCAACATTTACCCAGATTCCACTACTTCTAACCTCTCCCTCCATAGCCATGCTCCGCCATTGCAGGGACCTCCTCGCTGACCTCCGACTGCTGCCCTGCAGTCAATCCACTGTTTACTGTCCTCTAATGGCTCCTTATCACAATTAAAACAAAACTCAAAGTTCTTACCCTGGCTCAAAGGGCCCTTCAGGATCTAACCCTTGTCTACCCTGCAGCCCTGGTTATGGTTATCTACTGCTATGTAACAAACCGCCCCAATACTCAGTGGCTTAAAACAACAGCAATAATTTATGTTACTCATGCATCTGTGAGTGGGGCAGGGTTTGGCAGGGAAGGCCTGTCCCTGTTCCATGTGGTGTCAGCTAGGGTAGCTCAGCTAGAGTTAAGAGATCCAAGACCAAGATGGCACACTCCTATGGCTGGCAAGTTGGTTCTGGCTGGTCAGGAAGATTAGCAGGGGCTGAAAACAGAGGTGCCTTTGTTCCTCTCTACTGGATGCTTAGGCTTCCCTACAGTATGGTAGCTGAGTTCTAAGAGCAAGTATCAAAAACCCCCACTCATTCAAGGAGGTCCAAGAAGGTAGGCAGCAGAGGAAGATGCTGAACTCACCCCTTCTCATGAGCAGACTTTAATATACAAGTATATAGGAAACAACTACACTTATGAGACAACTGAGGGCCAAATGAATAGCTTCTGAACAACGAACAAGAGAAAGAGATGGGTAGAGATGGCTGGGAAGCTGAGGGAACCCTCAGGGAGCTGCCAGCTGTGCTGCAGAACTCCCTGGGTGAGAGGAGCTGTTGGATGCCCTTGTTTACATTCTCTTCCACTTCCATAGACAAGGCTTGGGGAACTCCACTCAGGTGCTTTGCCCTGCCTGCAGGACGGCTGCAGTGAATTCCCAGCTGCACTGCCTGGAGCCTTTTGCCTCTGAACACGGGAGCAAGCAGGAACGACAGGGCATCACCACACACCCCTGGCTTCCCTGCCAGGAACCACTCCAGCCCAGCAAGCCAGTGCCCTGGGCACTGTAAGCACCTGGCCAGCTCCGACTTCTCAAAACTACCTGACACATAAAGCCCACACAGAGGTTGCTTCTATGCAAGACCACCTTCTGCACTACAAACAAGAGAGAGACTGTGTAAAGAAGGTTGGGGAGACACAGGAGCTCTCTGGAGACTGCAGGGTTTCTTTGGGGTTGGAGGTACCACTGAGCACCATTGTTTCTGTCCCACCTCACTTCCATAGGAATGGTGAGGGCTCTATCCAGGTGTCCTGGCTTACCTACAAGGTTGCTGCAGTACATTCCTGGACACATTACCCAAGCTCATTTCCACCCCAAACAAAGGGAGCAAGCAGGATAAACAGGGCTTTACTACACATACTTGGCTTCCCCAACTAAAGCTTCTCCAGCTTGGTAGTCCAGTGCCCCTATAACTTTGGCACACGCTCAGCTCCTACCAGCCTGCCAAAACCACCTGGCACACACAAACCATGCTTCTACATAAAGCCACTTTTTCAAGACTGGGAAGAGAGCTATTTTGTCTAAATTCATGTAAACAAACATAGAAAGTCAAACAAAATGAAAAGACTAATCTCTCTCAAATAAAGGATTAAGAAAAATACCCCCTACGCACACACACCACTAAGGAAATAGAGATAACTAGTTTGCCTGGTAAAGAATTCAAATGAATGATCATAAGGATGCTCACCAAACTTGGGAGTGGAATAGAAGAACTTAGGGAAAACTTCAACAAGGGAAAGTATAATAAAGAACCAAGCAGACCTGAAGAATACGATAACTGAAATGAAAAATATATTAGATGGAATCAACATTGGATTAGCTACATACAGAGAATGGATCAGTTACCTGGAAGACAGACTAGTGGAAATCAACCAATTAGAACAGCAAAAAGAAAAGAAGAATTTTAAAAAATGAGCATAATTTAGGGGACCTCTGGGATAACATCAGGTGCTCGAACATTAACATTATAGGGATACCAGAGGAGAAGAGAGAATGAAACGGAAACTTTATTTAAGGAAATAATGTCTAAACTTTCCTAACTTGGGAAAGGAAACAGACGTCCAGGTCCAGGAAGCAGAGAGTTCCAAAAAAGATGAACCCAAAGAAATCCATGCAAAGATATTGTAATCAAAATGGCAAAAGAGATAATCTTGAAGGAAGCAGGGGAAAATAACAAATTACATACAAAGAAAACCCCATAAGGATATCAGCTGATTTCTCAGCAGCAACTTCACAGCCAGAAGGGAATGATAGGGCATCTTTAAAGTGCTGAAAGAAAGAAACCTACAACCTAGAATAATTTACCCATCAAGGTTATCATTCAGAATTGAAGGAAAGATAAAGAGTTCTCCAGACAAGAAAAACTAAATGAATTCATCACCATTAAACCACCTTTACAAGAAATTTGAAAGGATCTTCTTTAAGCAGAAAAGGAAAGGCTATAATCAGAAATAAGAGAAAGGAAAAAAAATCTCCCACAAAAAGCCAAATATTTAATAAATACAGCAAATCAGACATTTGACCTACTACAAAGGTCAAAAGAAAAAAGTTTCAAACAACACAAACTACAATAAGTGTTTAGGAGCTACACAACACAAAAAGATCTAAAATATGACATCAATAAATTTTAATGCCTATCAGCTTAAAATAGACTGTTATATAGATATACATAAAACCTCATGATAACCACAAACCAAAAATCCACAAAAAATCCACAAAGAATAAAGAGAAAGGAACCCAAACGAAACACTAAAGAAAACCAGAAAACCACAAGGGAAGAGAGAAGAAAAAAGGAACAGAGGAGAACTATAAAAACCAAAAAACAATTAACAAAATGGCAATAAGTACATACTCATCAATAATTATTTTAAATGTAAATGAATTAAATTCTCCAGTAAAAAACATAGGGTGGCTGAATGGATTAAAAAATATGACACATTTATATTCTGCCTACAAGAGATTCATTTCACTTTGCAAGATACATGCAAACTGAAAGTAAAGGGATGAAAAAAAGATATTTCGTGCAAACAAATGATAAAAAAGCTAAGATGGCAATACTCATATCAGACAAACTAGACTTTAAAACAAAAAATGTAAAAAAAGCACAAAGAAGGACATTGCATAATCATAGTCATTCCAAGAAAAGGATATGACAATTATAAATATCTAAACACCCAACATAGGAGCACCTAAATATATAATACCCACTCACATCAAAGGATAGATCATTCAGACAGAAAGTTAATAATGGCCTTAAATGTCACTTTAGACAAGATCCACTTAATAGACATTTATAGACCATTTCTTCCCCAAACTGCAGAATATATATATTTTTTCAAGTGCACATGGAACATTCTCCAGGATAGATCACATATTAGGCCACAAAACAAGCCTCAATAAATTCAAGATTGAAATCAATCATATCAAGCATCTTTTCTGATCAGAATAGCATGCAACTAGATATCAATAAGAAAAAAGTGGGAGAAACACAAACATGTGGAGACTAAACAACATGCTACTAAACAGCCAATGGATTAAAGAGGGAATCAAGCACGAAATCAAAAACTATCCTGAAACAAATGAAAATTGAAACACAACTTTTCAAAATTTAAGGGATGCAGCAAAAGCCATTCTAAGAGGGAAGTTAATAGCAATACCGGCCTACCTCAAGAACCAAGAAAAATCCCAAATTAACAATCTAACTCTACACCCAAAGGAAGTAGAAAAAACAAATAAAACCCATAGTAAACAGAATGAAAGGAATAGTTAAGGTCAGAGTGGAAATAAACAAATAGAAATTAAGAATACAATAAAAAAGATCAATAAAACTAAGACCTGTTTTTTTAAAAGATAAATAAAATTGACAAACCTTTAGCCAAACTCATCAAGAATAAAAGAGAAGCCAAATAAATAAAATCATAAATAAAAAAAGAGAAGTTACAACCGACACCACAAAAATAGAATCATTAAAGAATGTTAAAATTATATGCCAACGAATTCAACGATCTAGAAGAAATGTATAAATTTCTAGAAGTATATAAACTTCCAAGACTGAACCCAGCAGAAATACAAAATCTAAACAGACCTACTACTAGCAATGAAATTAAAGCAGTAATGGTAATAATTTGAAAAACTTCCAACAAATAAAACTCCAGGATGGGTCAGCTTCACAGGTGAATTCTATCAAACAAAGAAGATAATACCTATCTTAAACTATTTCAAAAAATTAAAAGGGAAAGAATGCTTCCAAACTCATTCTATGAAGCCAGCATTACCCTGATACCAAAACCAAAGACATTACAAAAAAAATTACAGGCCAATATCCTCGGTGAATATAGTTGCGGAAATTTTCAACAAATTATTAGCAAACCAGATTCAACAATACATTAAAAGGATTATACACCACGACCACATAGGATTCATCCCAGGGGTGCAAGGATAGTTTAACATCAGTAAATCAATCAATGTGACACATCGACATTCACGAATTAAAGGTTAAAAATCATAAGATCATCTCAGATGCAGAAAAAAAAAAGGACAAAACACTTTTATGATAAAAACTCTCAGCAAAGTGGGTATAGAAGGAACATATATCAACATAATAAAGGAGCATATCTCAATATAATATATATATGACAAACCCACAGATAATATCATACTCAATGGTGAAAAGCTAAAAACTTTTCCTCTAAGATTAGGAACAAGACAAGGATGCCCACTATTACCTCTCCTGTTCAACATAGTGTTGGAAGTCCTAGCTGGAGCAATCAGACAAAAAGAAATAAAAGGCATAAGAAATGAAAAGGAAGTAAAACTCATTATTTGGAGAGGAAATGATACTATTTATTAAGAACCCTAAAGATTTCACCAAAAAACTATTAGAACTGATAAATGAATTCAGTAAGGTAGCAAGATACAAAGTTAATATTCAGAAATTGGTTGTATTTTTATACAACAATAGTGAACTATCTTAAAAAGAAATTAAGAAAACAATCCCATTTACAACTACATCAAAAAGAATGAAATATCTAGGCATAAATTTAACCAAGGAGGTAAAAGACTTGTACTTGGAAAATTATAAGCCATTGAAGAAAGAAATTGAAGAAGATACAAATTGAAGAATACACATGCTCATGGATAGGAAGAATTCACATTTTTAAAATGTCCATACTACCGAAAGCAATCTATAGATTCAATGCAATCTCTATCAAAATACCAATGGCATTTTTCACAGAACTAGAACAAATAATCTTAAAATTTGTATGGAACCACAAAAGACCCCAAATAGACAAGGTAATCTTGAGAAAAAAGAAAAAAAGTTGGAGGTATCACACTACCTAACTTCAAACTATACTACAAGGCTATAGTAATCAAAACAGCAAGGTACTGGCATAAAAATAGACATATAGATCAATAGAATAGAAGAGAGCCCCCAAATAAATCCATGCCTACATGGTCAATTAATCTTTGACAAAGGAAGCAAGAATACACAATTGGGTAAAGACAATCTCTTCAATAAATGATGTTGAGAAAATTGGACAGATACATGCAAAAAAATGAAACTAGACCACTTTCTTAACTACATTGTAGTTAAGGATAAACTCAAAATAAATTAAAGACTTAAAAGTTTAAGACCTGAAATTATAAAACACCTAGAAGAAAACATAAGCAGTAAACTCTTTGACATCGGTCTTAGCAATATATTTTTTTTAAATATGTCTCTTTGGGTAAGGGAAACAAAAGAAAAAATAAACAAATAGGACTACATCAAACTAAAAAGTTTTTGCACAGTGATGGAAACCATTAACAAAATGAAAACAGCCAACAGAATGAGAGAAGTTATTCTCCAATGATATATTTGATAAGGGTTTAATATTTAAAGTATATAAGAAACTCACACACCAAAAACTCCCCAAACAATCCGATTAAAAAATGGACAGAGGATGTGACTAAACATTTACCCAAGGAGGACATACAGATGGCCAAAATATATGAAAAGATGCTCAACATCACTAATCTTCAGAGAAATGCAAATGGAAACCATCAAGTTTTGGGTGAGGATGTGTAGAAAAAGGAATCCTCGTGCCCTATTGGTAGAAATGTAAATTGGTGCAGCCACCATGGGAAACGATTCCTCAAAAAATCAAAAATAGAACTACCAAATGACCCAGCAAATTCCATTTCTGGGTATCTATCTGAAAAAATCCAAAACACTAATTCAAAAAGATATACATGCCCCTAAGTTCATTGCAGCATTTACAATAACCAATAAATGTTCATCAATAGATGAGTGGATAAAGAAGTGGTACATACATACAATGGAATATCACTCAACCATAAAAAATGAAATCTTGCCATTTTCAACAATATGAATGGACCTAGAGGATATTATGCTAAGTGAAATAAGTCAGAGGAAGACAAATACTATATGATTTCACTTATATGTGGAACCTAAAAAAACAAAACAAATGAAAAAAAGTAGAAACGGACCCACAGATATATAGAAGAAGCTAATAGTTGCTAATGGGGGGTGGGTGGGAGGTGGGAATTACACACATACACACACACATGAAATAGAAGCTGCCAGTCTCCTAAGATCTGGGCCTAGATACTATCATAATGTCAATTCCACTGTATTCTATTGGTCAAGCAATCACAGAGCCCAGATTCAAAGCGTAGGGACATAGATTCCACCTCTCCATGGGAAGAGTATCACAGAAGTTTTTAAAGCACCCCAGGTTCACATCCCGTAACTGTCCTCCCTCATTGGATTGTAGCCGCATGGGCTTCCCTGCAGCTCTTTGAGCCTGCCAAGCGTGTTTCCACCTCAGGGCCTTTGAACTTTCTCTTCCTTCTGTTGATGAGCGCAGGGCCCACAGTCATGCTCAGAAACTAGCCGTAGAATGGTCTCTGACTCCTCTCAGCTCCTCTAATCTCTCCTCTCCACGGCTAGAGGGCTCTTTCTCAAAATACACCACATCAGTCTCTCCTGCCTATAACCCTATCTGGCTCCCCACGGACCCCAAGAGAAAGTCTACCTTCCCTAGTCTGCCCCTCAAAACCTTCCCGTCCCATCCTCCATGGCCCAGTGGCTCATGCCACTCCTCCCACCACCCTCTCAAAGCCACAAATCCCCTTCTTTTCACAACACCATATGCTGGGCCCTCTGCCTGCAATGCCCTTCCCCTCATCTGTCTGGCAATTCCTGCTCATTTTTTAAGACCAAAAGCTACCTCCTCCAGGAAGCAGTCCCAGATCTCAGGCTGGGTTAAACACCTCTCCTGTGCCCTTGATATTGTACAGTCTGTCTTCCCCAGGTGGGAGCTCCTATCTGGGCCCTAGCCCCAACAGACAAATCCTTGGGCCTCAGCCTCCTCCCATACCAATTTGTGAGGTGAAAAAAATCTTTATTGATAAATAAGTTACAGTGAAATAAATAGAGTGATGGTTTGATGGGGAATAAAAACTCCAGCAGAATATTAGTCCCTCTCCTCCCGCCTCTAGCTCTTGACTTCTGCCTTCTTACTGGCCCCTTTGGAGGAAGAGGTCTTGGTGGGCATGCTGGGCCTCCTCGGGCCCTTGGGGACCTCTGTCTTCCTGGCCAGTGGTGCTGGCGCCGTCTTGGACCCACTGCCCTTAGGAGGAGCAGCAGCTTTGGCTTTTAGCCCTTCCCCAGCCCCCTGGGCGGCAGCCTCTTTAGGGACCTTGTTCCCCATCTTCTTTTTGGCCAGGGAAGCATCACCATTCTCGCCCTGTAAGAAAGCAAACCAAGGAGCAAGGCGACAGAGCTGGGCAGGGTAGGACACAGAGCTCAGAGCCCACGAGCATATGGTCGAAATCCCAGCTCTGGGTGGCTTTGACCTTGCCTCTCTAAGCCTCAGTCTCTTATCTGCAAAATGGGAATGGTGATCCTCAGGGGCTGGAGAGGAGGAGAAACTGAATTGCGCTTTCTAGGAAAATAAATGACCCCCTTCCCTGGCTGACCTTTCCAGGAGCTGAGTGGCAGACACCCAAACTCTGGCTGACCCAGACCAAGGAAGTCAAGCAGGCACCTACCTTGGTGACTGTGGGTTTTGAACTCTGACTCCCAGCTTTGGTTTTCCTGTGGGCCTTGGCATCTGCTGGAAGGTAGGGGAGAGTATGTGAGAAAGACTCCTTTCAGGAGGAGCTGCTGGTGGGCAGGAAGGTTCAGGGGCTCTGGAGCCCCATCCTGCCCAGGGCCCCAGTCTTCACCCTCACTCTGACATGTATAGGCTATATGACCTGGGAAAAGTCATTTAGCTTCTGAGCCTGGGCGCCCTGGTCTGCAAACTGGGGAAAACAGTATCTCCCTCATGGGATGTTCGGAGGACTAACTGGACTGTAGATGATCATACCTCACTCTGAGCCAAGCACCAGGGCAGACCTGCTCTGTGCCTACCCACAGCAGAGGCACGTTACAGGTTTGTTAGTCTCTAGTCTTTAGCCCATCCTCTACATGGCAGCTGGATTCATTTTTAAAAATACCTCAGACCCTAGCTGCCTAGCTGCCCCCTGTTCAGAGTCGATCCATGGCTCCTCATTGTCCTCCAGAATAAAGTCCAGACTCCCACCTGTCTTTTGTGGCTGCCACTTCCCCCTCCCACACTGCACTCACAGAACTACTTCCTCAAAAGCTCCACCTTCTTCATGCCTCCAGGCTTTTGCACAGGCTGCTCTCCTGCCTAGCATACCTCTTCCAGGAAGGCTTCCCTGACCCCTCTCAGAGATGAATCAGGCTCTTCCTCCTCACCCCCCACCCACCTCCATCCAGTGTCCACCTCCATCCAGTGTCCACCTCCATCCAGTGTCCACCTCCATCCCTGCTCTGTCCTTCTAGGTCAAGTCTAATTCTCAGGCCACATTTACCAGATGAGGAAATCTCCACCCCACCTAGAGCTGGCCCCTCCATGCCACCTCATATCCGGTGGCTGCCCACACACTCCACTCACCTCTTTCATACACCTACCTGGGCTATTTCTTCTGCCTTTGACCTTTGACTTCCCATGGAGCTCACTGGCACCAGGAGGGGCATTTGTGGCCTTGTCTGGCAGTTGGGGGGCCTTCCTGGCCTTGTCTACTCTTGTCTCTCTGTCCTTGGTCTGGCCACCTTTCTTGGGGGCCTCCTCCTTGGCTTCGCCGGGTCTCCTGGGGGCAGTCATGGTGGTTGTCTTTCTGGGCTGGATTTTTTTGGTGTGCTTGGGAACTAACTGTCAGAAGAGACAAGGAGGTGGGAATGAAAGCCATAGTTTTGGGTGTCTTAAGACACTATACCCTATATTGGCTTGGAGGAAGGCTCCATTCAAAAAGGAAGGTGAAGGAGGTGGTCAGTGGAGAAGACAAGACCACGTACCAGATGCCTGCCAAATGCCTGCTCCCAATAACACATTCAGCCCTTCCACTGAGCTGTGAGGGAAAGCTGTTGTCATTTAGGAGCTAGGGGACCTGAGTCCCCCAGGTTCCCCCAAGGTGCTCTTCCTGCTTCCTGAGGGTACAGACACATTCCCCCCACCCCTGGAAGCCTCAAAGCCAGGCTTCTGGGAGCAAACTGCACACACCGTGAGGCCTGACCTCATTCTCTGAGGGGCTAAGCTATAACCCTCCTTTGGCTTCCTCCCTGCCCACACCTGCCCATGACCTGTGGCTCTGACTCCCCCTCTGACTCCCTCTTCCCGGCAAAACCTGCCTCACCTCACACCTCCACCTCTCTACTCTCCCTGCCTCACCTTTTATGCCCCTCAGTGGAACATGGGCTTCAAGGTCAGAGAACCCAGAGCTCACAACTTCCTCCAGCCCTTCCCAGCTGTGCAACTTGGCAAAGTCTTCTGTCCCCAATGGCCTCAGTCTTCCCGTCTTTATAATGGGGCAATCAGGGAGGGTGTGAGCATCAAGAGATGTGAGGGTCCCTGGCAAACGAATGGTCCCTGCCCCTCTAGAGCCCGCTTCTGATGATGTCACTCCCCCACTCCTGAGCCCTCATGGCTCCCCAATACCCACACAGACCAGAAATAGCCCCCACTCCCAGCACAGACCCATGCCTAACTCCGCCGTGCCCTAGGGCCCCTTCCTTGCCTCCCATCCCCTCAGCTCACTTTCCTGACAGGCCCTGCAGCCTAATCCAGCTACACGCGCCCCCACGCACCCCTCTCTTGCTCTCCTTCACGCTACCTTATGCACCGGGCCTCGCCACAGCTTGTGTCCAGGCTCTGACCCACACCCAGGAGTTCTATGAAGGTGGGACTTCTTGTACTCAGCCACTAGTTACCACCTGGTAGGTTGAGAATGTTCCACAGTATTCCATGACAGTTGTCAGTGCAACTGCTACTTGCAGTGATAAGACAGACCCCATGTCTGGGTCCAAGACATTTCCCTGATGACAGCTGGCCGTCACAATGCTGGGGTTCAATTTTGTGACAAACTGGCCCTCAGCTCTGGGTGACCCGGGACAGGTCTGCTCTAGGACCCTCCCCTTTGAAAGAGGAGGATGTGGTGTCTCAGGGAGGTGCCGCCCCTGCTTTGGAGTCAGAGAGCATGGGGAACAAACCCCAACTTTGTGACCTTCTAGAGCCCGAGGTTGGGCTGCTTGGTCTTCTAAGGAATTCCAGGAAGGGGCTGTGGGCAGAAGGGAACATAGCTGAGAGGGTCCCTGGTCACAGAACACACCCGACAGGGATGGAGGTGGACACAGCAGGGTGACCAGAGCCGTGTGTGGGCTCAGACGGGGCACATAAACCAGTGCTCCCAGAGGGGAGAGTATCTCTGAGTAGACACAGGAAGAACAAGAAGACAGTGGGGAAAAAGGCCTTCCGGCAGGGGAATAGCACACAGAAGTCAAGAAGAGAGCTGAGCCTCTCTCATCCTTCTGTTTCCTCTCCCCCACCCCACCCCACCCCCCACCAGCAGGCTCACTTTGAAGCTTCCAGTGGCCCCCCTGGCCTTGGAGTTGGTGGGCCTGACGAGGAGGCCACGTTGCATGCCAGTGTCCAGGGCCCGCTTCAGCAGGTACTTGAGCCGGATGGCATCTACCGTAGGGTACTTTCGCAGGATGTACACCTTGATGGCGACCACTGAGGTGCCCCGGCGCTGCTCTCCCGCCTGCAGTGCCTCCAGCACCATGCGCAGCATGGGTGGGTGACGGCGTGGTGCTTGGATGCCACTATGGCTTGGGCCTACGGATGGACAGCAGGACATCATCCAGCGCCCAAACCACCCTCAGGCCCAACTTACAACAAACATGCTGGGCAAAGCATGCACCAGGTACAGGCCAGGCCCGACAGCGGGTGGGCAAAGGGCCTGAGGGATCAAATACACTCTTAAGTCAGTGTCACTGAACAGTGGCCTGTGAGCAGTCTAAGGGGAGGCAGGGGCACGCTGCTCGGCGAGCCACTGTCTTCCAGTGCCTGGAGTGGGGCTGGGCACACACCAGTCACTCCATGAGGTCTCATCGAAAGAATTAAATGTTTCTTTTAAAAAACAACCCTAAATCGGGTCAGTTGTCTAGATCTAACTACCAGTTTACAGGGAATCCAGGGGCTCTTTGAAAGGGGCACGGGAGTGAATTTAGCAAAAACCAGACTGTGAGGACTTCTCCAGGACACACAACCTGCTACAAATAAACAAGGAGGAAAAGTAGGAGGGGTCCCCAGAGATGAACGATTCTGGAGAGAGACCTTTCAGTCAAATGCAAAATGGGGTCCTTGCTCAGACTCGGACATAATTTGAGCAAACCAACTGAAAAAAAAAAAAAAGGCAGCTAGGTAAATGTGAACACTGGAAATATTTGAGTGTGTCAAGGATGATATTGTTTTAGATGTGCTAATGGTATTGCAGTTATTTGGTAAGAGGTTCTTATTTTTTAAAGATAAATACTGGACTATTTACAGATGAAATGATAGCTCTAGAACTTGCCTTGAAACCCAGTACGTGAAACAAGAGTGGCCACAAACTGCTAACTGTTGAAGTTGGATGGTGGGTGCTGAGGGCAGGGTGAGATTTGTCACTGTACCACTCCGTCTACTTTTGTATCCGTTTGAAAGTTTTCATAATAAAAAGTTACAAAGTAAATCCACTCCTAAGTAAATACCCAAGAAAATATATTTTGTCCCCTGCAAACATTTGTACACAAAAGCTTATAGCATTATTTATAATAGCCACAAAGTAGAAACAACCCAACTGTCCATAAACTAATGAATGGATAAACAAAATGTGGTATAGCCATAAAATGGAATATTATCCAGCCAACAGAGGAATGAAATGCTTTCTGGAAATCACTATGCTGCATGAAAGAAGACAGTTACAAAAAGTCACATATTGTGCCATTTCATTTATATGAACTGCCCTGGATAGGCAAATCACAGAGACAGAAAGTAGATTAGTGGTTGCCAGGAGCTGGGAGCAAGTGCGGGGTGGGGGGAGTGACTGCTGGTGTATACAGGTTTTCATTTTGAGGTGATGAAAATATTCTAAAATTGACTGGAAATGATACACAACTGTGAATGTACAAAAAGTCATTGTATGCTTTAAATGGGTGAATTTTATGTGAACGGTATGTGAGTTATTGAGATATCTCAATAAGCTGTTATAAAAAAAGTTACAAGAGAATAGGATCAAAGGTGAGTGGGAGAAAGTATGAGAAGTTATCAGTCACCATAAGGTGCATAGAAGTGGTTTACATATGAAAACTGATTTAAACATGGTGATTAGAAATGTTGACTTCTGATCAACTTGTAAAAATTAAAGACGAGAAAGGAATCAATTGGCTAAAAAAACATATTTTAAAAAAATAGTAGGAAAAACACTACCCACAAACTTGAGATCTTGAGCAAAATTGTAAAGATACCTAATCCAATTCAACCTCTGCTGCTTCCTGGCCAGGAAGGGCCCAGTGTCTGGGAATATTTATTTTGGGGCTAAAGCCTGTGAATCAGTAGAGTCCCGGGTCTGTCACCCCGAGGACCTTGGGAGTTTTGCCCTCTTCTCTGGGCTCAGTCTTCCCATCTGTACAGTAGGCTGGGGCCTCTACAGAGGTCCAAACCCTCCCAGCTGCAGTGTTAGAGAGTTCCCAGAGGAGTCTTTGGCCCTGGCCTGGGGTGACAGCTCTAACCCCTCTCCTGTCTCCCCCAAACCATGTTCTGTTCCAGGGAGCCACCCCCAAGTCTCCTCCCTCCCCAGACCCTCCAGCTAGATTCAGCTCCTTGTTTGATAGTTATTCAATGCCTGCCGTATACCAGGATGTCTGGAACAGAACTCACACCTCCCTGACCCCTGCCCTTTGTCTTCTCCTTCCAAGAAATGGCACCTCCCCCCATACCTACCCAGACACCCAAGCAAGAACCCAAGGGACGCCCTAGACCTCCCCTCCCCTCCCCTTTACCACTACACCCACTCCACCGTTTCTTCTAGGCTTCTCTTCCTCCATTCTGGCCTCTCCTCTCCATCCCCAGGCCTCCAGCCTCCTCCCTGCTGCATCTTTTCCCTTCCAACCATTCTTCTCACTGCATCTCACATCCCTCCCCTTCCTGTTGCCTTCAGTTTAAGAGCCGACACACCTGACCAAGGCCTAGGAGGCTCAGTCTGATTGGCCCCTGCCCCCCCTCTCACCGCTGTTCTCCCCAACTCTGCCCCTAGCCAGAAGGAAGATGTTCAGCTCCCCAAACGCTCTGTCAGCACTCCCACCTCTGGGCTTTTGCCTGTGCTGTTCCCTCTGTCTGGGTGGTCTTTCTCTTTCAAGGTCACTTTGGCAGCTTTCACTCAATGTTCAAGGTTCTAACAGCACTGTAATTAGAACACCTGCCCTGAGTTCCCAAGCCAGAATGAACAGCTCCGCCCTGTGCTTATCAAGGCACCTGGAATCCACCCCTTCTTCTCCAAAGGATCCTTTGCAAATACTCAGTACACTTTCCCTGACTCATTCTCTTTCTCCTGGGTGAGGTTTAATCCTCCTTCAGGGGTCACCTCCTCTAGGGAGTATTCCTTGGCCTCCCAGAGTGGGTTAAGCCCTCTAGGTTCCTGTCATTAAAGCATATGCAACTTCATCAAATGACATCTACTGATGAGGTGGGCTTGCCCATCATCAGACTGGGAACTCCTGTAGGGAATGAACTGGGTCTGTTTGCTTCAGTGGACCCCATATCCAGAAAAACCCCAAGACATTGTTAACTGAAAATTGGCATGCAGCCTTAAATCCAAAGCCCAGTCCTATATCAAACGTGCGTTACTCTAGAACCTCCAGCTAGCAGCCCTGCAGCTGCCCCTGGGCTGTAGCCCTCCCTGACAGGAAATGGGCTCCAGCTGGGGATGCCAGCTCTGACCGCTTCGCCTGAGCTGGGCTAGCCTCAGCTCTCAGCCTTACCTGGCCTCTGGCATCAGCTCTCCTGCCAAATGAGCAGTTGAACTCAATGGCCTCTAGGATAGGTGCCCAGGCCAGGCTGGAGCAGGAGGAGGAGGGTGGGAGGAGGAAGGGTCCTGGACACTCAAGGAATGAGCTTGCAGAGATGAGGGAGGAGCTGCCTCTCCTTGCTCACCTGGCTTTTCAGTCCCAGACCACCTAGACATGGAGGTTGAAGAGGCCAAAGAGGTCGAGGTGTCGCTGGAAGCCATACTCCCGGGAGCCATTTTAGAGGCAAAGGCAGATGCAGATGTGAGGCTACTAGGCCTGCCTGCTGGTCTTATACACCAGCGGCCTGGCCCCGTGATTCCAATTAAGCCCTGATTGGGCTGGGAGGCTCTGAGCTGCTGATTGGGGCGGGAGGGCTGAAATGGGGCCTGCAGCCCTGCCATGTATGCTAACACCCCAGCTCAGTCACCCACTCCTGTGTGATGTTGGATGAGTTCTCTGGGTCTCAGCCCCTGTGGTGAAATGATGAGGGCCGAGATGTTTAGTCCCTCTTGCACCCTCTGCTCACCAGGGGCTGGAGATGTTGACGGGGAATTGGGCACACCTGGGTTGTGGGGTGGCCACGGAGGCCCTCCAATTCTGCTGCCCCAGCATCCTCTCCTGTTCCCTGGCCATTGCTGGCTTCAGTTTCTCAAGAAGTAGCAATTGAAGGCCGGCCAGTAGGGTTTGCCTGGAGCGGACACCTCCAGGTCCACCTGTGGGCATCCTTTTTTTTTTTTTTTTAAGAAGAAATCCTTAAGAGATGAAAGAGTAATTTTAAAATAAAATTGATTAGCAAAAATCTCCATAAATAAGAAAATGGACAAAAATTATAAATAGGCAACTCACTACAAAGTTGATAAACACAGGAAAATATTTTCAATCTCATTGGCTTTCGGGGAAATTCAAATCAAAACAATGATGAGATACTACTATTTTTCCATCAAAATGGCAAAAACCGAAGACAAAGTATTGGCAAGGATTGAGGGAACTGGATGCAGAGACCCTCACTGCCTCTGCCAAGGGCGTAAATGGTGGTGCAGCCCACTTGGGAAAGGTTTTCCCTTGAGCTCAGCAACTCCACTTCTCTGTTCTAGAAATGCATTAGATGGAAAAGAAAGTAAAATAGAACTAACTTCCAAGTGAATCACTTGGGGCCTGGCTAAATTACTCCCTTGCTGTAGAATACTCTGCAGCCATTTAAAATGATAAGGTGGATTACAACAAGGATGAGGTTGTATTTCACACCCAGTATAATGACTAATATTTAAATATCTATTAATGCTGAGTGCCCAGGACACGAAGAAATGCATAACTGCTTGGAGGGTAAGTTGGAAGCCACTTTAGAAAGCAATTCAGTGACATCTAATACAGTTAAAGATGGACTTGTGCTGTATCCCACCCATGTCACTCTAGGATGAATCTCAGAGAACTCTTACACTGATACACAAGGATGCCCATTGCAATCTTAGCAAAACTTCAAAATAACCTAAATGCCAATCAGGAGGAGAGTGGACAAATAAACTGTGGTCTATTCACGTGGTGGAAGAGTACATAGCAGTGAAAAGGAAGGAGCCAGAATATATATGAGGAATATGGCCCCACTTCTGAAAAGATAAAACCGTGTGTGTGTGTGTGTGTGTGTGTGTGTGTGTGTGTGTGTGTGTGTGTGATGAAGGCATGGAAAGTCTGAAAGGATTCATACGCAGGTGATAGCAGAAGTTACCTCTGAGCAGAGCATAGGATTTGGAGTCAATGGGTTTAAAACATTTGCATTTTTCTCTGTAGTCTCTTTATTTTGGGTTTTTCCCCGGAGACTATCCATTACCAAAGCTCTGGACTGAGGGAGGCAGTGGCCATTATAGTGTTTTAAAGTGAAATCAGATATCACTCCTTTGTCTAGCACCCTTCATATCTTCCCATTGCCCAGGGGTTAAAGTTTGACCTCTTCAGTCTGGCTTTTGGAGCCTCCTGTCCCTGGAACCTCATAGACTCTCCACATATTTGCTCTTAGGATGGGCTGGGTGCTGAGATCTGAGCTTTGCCCATTGTGTTTCTGCCGAATATGTGTTATACCGAAGCAAAAATGGCCCCATTTTTTCACCCCAGCCCATATCTATGCCCATTTGCAATGTAACTTTACATCTCTTTGCATACTCCTTAAATCTGTGCTGGCCTTGTGACTTGCTTTGACCAATGGAATATGGTGGAATTGATATTATGCTAATCCCACTGTCATGTGAACAAGCCCTGGCTAGCCTACTGGATGCTGAGAGAACTGTGGACCAGCCACCCCTGTCACCCAGCCAATAGCTGGCCAACCAGCCAACACTCCAGTTAACCACATATGTTTGAATCAGCCCACTGGAGATCAATCAAGCTTGGTCTGGATCAATAGAGCTGCCTGGCTGACCCACAGAGTTGTGAGGAACAATACATGCTGTGTTGATTTTGGAGCTGTTTGTCACACAGCATAAGCTAACCAATACATGCGGCCTAGAAGACCCTTTTTTACCTCACCTACCTTCTCTGGAATGTTTCCCAGTCATCTTTTTGGCCTTAATGTAGGCATCACTTCCTCAGACAAGCCCTCCCTGACTCCTAGGAAGTTACAGGCCCCTCCTGCTTGCCAGCAGCCCCTGGACTTGCTGTCTGGGAGCTTCCAGCACCCCAAATTATAACTCTACTATTGTCTGCTGTAGTAGCCCTTGAGCTCTGGTGGTGGAGGGTAATGGGGGCAAGCAGGGCTGTGTCTTATTCCTGGTGGTATCCCTGCTGCCTGGCACAGAGTAGGTGCTCAGCATCCATTGCTGTGAAAGCCCCAGTGTCAAAACCCAGCTTGGCTGAGTGCAGGGATGCCTGAAAACCATCTGTGGAAACCATGCTAAAGCAAGAGATGAGATGAAGCAAGAGGCACATTGAAGCTGGTGCAAATGGGGGCAGCAGTTTTGATCACATTGTAGGATTGAGAAATAGAAAAAGACTCAGCAATACAAACATTCCCACGAGCTTCATCTGAAACCCTGCTCCTGGGCTGTGCCAGGATAGAGGTTTGCATTTGGAGGGAGGAAGTTCTAAAATGTGCTGCGTGATCTAAAAATTCTTCCAGAGGATTGCCTTTTTACAGGGAAATGATGATTGTGACTATCAGCCTGCTGGAGAGAGGACAGGCGGCTTGGTGTACTTACATGACTCTTTTACTGAGGCCTGTATGATATTTAAGTTCTGCCAAAAACTTTTACTGTCTTGGAACACTGAATGGGGGTCTCCTACATTCTGATAGTTCTGAAGGTTACAGTTCACAATTTTCTGAAGCGGTGAGATGGCGCCTGTTTTATATAACTCTAGCACCTGTAGCATCAGGATATTTGTGTGACTTTAGGTCAATACATGCACAGAAGTCAGGGTAGAAATAATAATAGCAGCCATGTTCAATGTCCATGAAAATATTTTACATTCACTATTTTATTTACACATGAAGAAGCTAAAGTTCAGAGAGGACCCGTGCCAGATCTTCCCAAGTCCAAACGCTGGGCTGAAACCTGGAAGCCCTCTGTTGCTAGTTAATTAACCAGCTGTAACTCCAAAATAACAGTGGCTTAAACAAGAAACCATGAGACCATTCTCTCATGAAACTCTTCAAAAACAACTTGTGGAGGGTTGGTAAGGCAGCATGGGAAACCCAGGCTCCTGCTTTTTTGATGCTCTGCTATTCTCTGCCCACAGATTCTACCTCATGATCCAAGATAACTGCTGCAGCTCTGGTCATCGTGACTACATTCCAGACATTAGGAAAGAAAGAAGAAAGAAAGTGGAAGACACCTCCATTCTCTGAAATGCACGGCTCAGAGATTACACACATCTCTTCTGATTATACTTCATTGGCCAAACCTTAATGTCATGCCACCACAGAGATTAATGTCATGCACGGCTCAGAGATTACACACATCTCTTCTGATTATATTTCATTGGCCAAACCTTAATGTCATGCAAGAGAAGCAAGAGATGTGATCTGGTACTGGGTGGCTAGCTGCCAGCTAGATTTTGGGGTAATATTACTAAAAGAAAGAAAGGGAGGTATGTTGGGGCAGTTAGCGCTTGCTTCCCTCTTTCCTGAGACCCCTCCATTATTTTAATGTCTTCCTCCCACCACAGCAAGGGCTGCTTCTTTGAACTTGGTTCACATCTCTGGGACAGGAACTCATCTTTATTGAATGCCTACTATGCACTGCATTTTTTGTATCAATATTCTCATTAGTCCCTTTAGACAATTCTACCAACTGGGATGATTCTCCCCTTTAAGTTCAGAAACTTGATCCGAGAATGCACAGCTGGAAAAGGCACCCGCTGTCTCCTTGGGGGCACTTTGGGGTGTCAGGAGTACATGTCTCTACTGAGGGGCAGGGTGGCAGGCTGCTATCAGATCCTGTTGCTTTGGAGTATAGGGTGTTGTTCATACTCTCTGCAAGACCGGAGGTGAGAGAGCTCTGTGGCCCTGAGGCTGGCCATGTCATAGCCTAGGGACCGATTTCCTCCAATCCATCTCTGGAGTCCCCAGCGCATCCTGGCCTAGGGTCTGCTTCCTTAGATTGGGTTGAGTGGAGATACAATTATAAACAACAGGCATTCCATAAACCTGTTGGAGACCTGGAGCCTGGAGATGAGGTGAGTAATAACCTCTCCCCAGCCTAAGTCAGCAGCTTTTTGCCTTTATATATGGCAAGTGTCCCATATGTGGCTGTCAAATTAATTGTAAATTAAGGAGGTAAAGAGGCTTTCCTCTCTACCAGAAAAAAAAAAGAGAGAATATTGTGGTTTTAGAGTACTTTTTTTCTCTGGATTTGAGGCTGAGACAAATATACCACTCCTCAGAATAAATGGACTGGGGTGGGGGAATGAGGGGACAGGGCCGCCTGCAAGGCAGGGCAGCTAAAATGCCACTGTCATGCCTGGCCCAACATAGCATCTGAAATGAAAAATGAGACCTGCAAGACCAACCTTGGGAAACTTCTTCCCTGTGCACAGTGTGGAAGAGCAGCCTGTTCTAGCCGGATGTCACTGACTCCTAGCCCACCCTCTCTGGGCTGCTGTTGGTCCTGCCCACCCTGCCCTCCGCCCTCCTCCTTCTAGTAACAACCCCCCGGTTTCCTTTGGTCTCCTTTCTGTCCCCACTCTCAGACCATTTGTTTTTTGTAGAGTTAATCTTGGGCTGCAGGGACAATCAGGTGACACAGTCCTGGTCAATCAGAGGATGAATCTGCATCTGAGCCTGGTGATAGGCTTAGGGGCAATCAAGTGACCTAAGCCTGGCCAATGAGAGCCCTACTTGGGCACTTTGCTGGAACTGACGGGAAAGGGAAGCCCATTTTTTGCAGGGCTTGCTGAGTCTGGAACATCCGGCGGCTATTTCTGCCACCTCTTGGAAACAGTAAGCCTGTGCAGAGGAACATATAGCTGCAAGGGGAGACACGGAAGCCTGATAACGTCTTCTGAGCACCTGTAGCCAGCTGTGCCTGAAGTCCTGGGCTTTTTGTTTGTGGGAGCCAATAATTTTTCCCTATTGTTTCAGCCCTATTGAGTTGGATTTCTTGTCACTTGTAGCCAAAGGAATCCTGACTGACATTACCCAGGGAGGCAGAGTAAAGAGGGACAACTTTCGGATCCTAGCTATTACCAGCCCAGCCCCCCATGGCACTAAGGATCTTCCATCTCTGACTCCTTTCAACCTTCCCACCTTGGAGGATGAGGGTAACTCTTGGGAGGTATATATCCATCTTGTTCCTCTTGTAGATGGGGTGCCCAGCAAGGCCAGCTCTGAAGCCCCAGTAATGCCAAAAGTCTCCCACTGTTCTGTGTGCCAGGAAGCAGGCTGGCCGCATAGTCTACAATCTCATCTAATCTCTTCAAGATCTGTTTTAAGATTCCCTTTTGCAGATAAGGAGGCTCAGAGAGGTGACAAAACTTGCTTGCAGTTTCACAGGTCACCTGGGTCTCTGTGACTCCAAAGTTGGGGCCTTTCCCATT